CCCCACAACCACTGGGCCAGGTTTGTAGGGAAGAGGTCCTTGTCCTTATCGACATAGGGCACCCTCTCCATGTTGAAGGCATGTGACCTGGTATGATGTGGGGGGGGGGGTTGCACATTTATCCCCCCCCTTTTCTGCTCTGCCAGGCTGATGCTCGGGTCAAGGGTCTGGTTAAGGAATTTTAGGGGGGACTCCACACTTTTTTTTGTCTTTTTTTTGTTTCTGTGGACTGTCAAAAGTTAAAAAGAAAAGAAAAAATATCACTTTTCTAAATATCACTTTTCTGCAACGAATGTTCGTTCGTAAATATTGTATAACTCATCCGAAATTGACGAAAACAAATTGATTTTCAGACCCGAATCCCCAATCCCGCAATAACAAAAATATCAGAAACGGAGCGAACCAAAACACATTTTTTCCTGCCACACATGTCTACGGTTTAGCATTTCAGGCCCTGTTCACACCAGGGCAGTTCGGCCAACATAAACGATCCAATACATTGCTATGGGGACCATTAATGCGACTACGTGACTCCACGTGATCCGAACCGCCTCCCGCCCGAATTGCTCCCTGACTCTTTTTTGCAGCACCGATCAGCGCAGTTTCCATAATATTTCAATTGAACCGTGCTGTTCAGCGCAGTTTTGGGCATTTTTTATTACGTTTCAGCTCTGAAATGCAATTAAAAACACCCAAAGCCGCCCTTTTAAAATGGTCGCCGATCTGCGACTGCCCTGGTGTGAATGGGGCCCCAGAGAGTCATATGAAAATTGTTAAAGGACTTCATATTTGTTTGAGGTTTCTCCTCCTCCAGCCTCCTCAGCTTTACCAATGCTTTCATTATGCAAGGGATTTCACCAAGAAATACAGCAGTTTTCATTGAGAATCACCACCATGCAAGATTACATGTGTAACTACAGCTCTCTGTTGTGAGAAATTGTGGAGGGAAACCTTCTATCTTACTACATGGGGAAGGTCCACAAAAACAGGGGATTTCCATTAGGTTACACATCGTAACACTATTTTGCCCTATATATCATGCTTATACACAATTGTCTCACAGTTCTATATACCTCATAACAGTCTTGTTTTTCTGTTAGTGTTCTTAGTGATTTTTATTGCAGCAGCCGTTTTATTTTATGATAGTTATGACTATCTTCCCATTTCTGAACAAACAGAGCAGGAAGTTCAAGCAATCTTAATGGTCTTATTTTGCAATAAACTTACCATATTTCCTTTTGACTGTGCTATATTGGCAGTTGTAATCTAGATTATGACATTCACATTGGACAGTGCAAGCTCCTTTGTTTTCTTGTCTTTAAAATGATGAACTACAAACATAGTGAATGTATAATTTTACTTGATCAGTTTGCTGATGGACTTCACACTGCTAAAGTGGCAAAATGCAAATAGGGTTGAAAATGGAACTTTGCTTGCAAAATATCTACTGCTCCTAAGTGATGGTGAAACAAAAACCTGCACCAAACATTATAGCCTATTGGGGTTTTTGGCAGTTATGCAGTGAGCATAGTAGATCTATACCCTAACAATATGACAGTTTGCTCCCATCAGATGCTTACCATCTTGTCTTGAATTGTATTGTAATTATAATGTCTTCCCTATACTGTAAAGCACTGCGCAAACTGTTGGCACTATATACATCCTGTATAATAATAATAATGATAATAATAATAATAACGCGTTTCTGTCAGTAAAAAGAAAAACAATTAACCTTGCAGTAGGGCTACCTATGCACTGCAAGGGTTAACTGTTTGTTTTCGTCTAGGGGTATTGTGTAAAGCACTTTTACTTACCTGGTCCCCACGCCTACAGGCTCCAAGACCACTGCCTGCAACTTCTTTCTCACTTAGCTTCAGCGGTTGGAGGTCTGCTGACATCATCATGTCTAATGCAGGACCCATGGCCATGTGACTATGCCGAGGGACATTATGAAAAGGACAATATAAAAATGTAGTATCCAAGTTGTTCATGGATAATGGTAACTTATTTTCTTTTAATTATTAGTTAAGAGATCAGTCAGTCAGTACACAGGTTGAATTGTCAGTGAACAGCAAGTATTTATGGAAAAACAGAACATTATTTTACTAGCTTATACTGTATATGCTGCATTTTACTGAACTGACCAGTGAAAATGATAAGCACATGTATATTAGAAAACAACTTTTGGCACCCTGACTTGTATTATTTAGGGCATTCTGAATATTTTAGATGAATAAAGTGTTGTATGCCATTTCATCTGGGTCTGTGCTCCTCTGTGGCAGTTAGAGACTTGCACAGTGATGCTGAGCTCTTGTGCACTTCTAAAATCTCATCTGATCCAGGGAAAGTTTAATAAATACTCTGGTGGAAAAGAAATCACCATGCCTCAGCCCTTTACCTATTGTGCCATAGTATCCTCAGGAGTATAGCTCTAGGCTGATACTTTGTCCCACTATAAACAGGACCGTGCAGTTTTTTCTTCATTTTTCCCTGTCCCGTAGTTTCTTTAAAAAAAGAAATGTTGTCCCGTTTTTCTTCTTAGGAGTGCGCTTCTTAGTCTGTGCGTCTCCTTAATGAGACTGACAGTTCATCCAAATCAAAATTACTATATACCCGAATATACAAATGATTATTTATTCGGGCATATAGTAATTCATTGTATGAGTGTGCCGCCATATTGGTACATCTGATGTCACGTACGAAGACACACCACCCCCTTGGCCCATTGTTTCTATGCACGCCTGCGTGCTTATAGACGCGCCAGTGGTTAATATTGCCACCTCACATTTTTTTTTTCAGTGTGCAGTTTCCGATTAGTGGGCTTGTTGCCTCCAAATCCAAAACAGCATCATCTTAATTTTTCATGGATACGGAATATTAAAACCGCCCCGTTTTTGCCATCCGAATGTACCGTTTTTGGCTCTAGGAAATATGGTCAGTCTACCGATAAGAAGTATGAGTGGTACATTTTTAGGTAGGTAACCCTACCAAAAAATGTGATATACTTGGCTGTGTGTGATGAGACAGCATTTAAACTCATAATAGTTCACTGACCTCATACACATATTGACCTCTGTGTCACTCACATCTCAGTGTGGATTGCAATGTCCATACCAGTGAACTTTTGAAAGTCAATTCCTCAGAATGGGGGTGGAGAATGGGGTGTAGCTAATCACGGTGCACATGAAAAAAATAACAATCTGGTTAAAAAACAGGTAAAAACAATAACAATCTGGCAAGAATTTCTAACCTTAGTACTCCCAATGATGCTGGTCTCAAGGTGTCTGCAGGAGTCCCATAAACATTAAACCATCACCTGTATCAGGCAAAAAAAGCCAGATTGTAAGGCTATCAGAGATAAAATTCTGGTGCCCCTGTTTTGGGGTGCGCTGAACTTGATCACTCCCTACAAAGGATGGCTTGGGAACAGCCACTTACAGCAGGTAGAGAAGTCCCTATATATCAAGTATATACATTTTACATAACACATTTGTGCATTAATCTTGTGATGCAGTTAATCTTCTAGAATAAAAATTTATTTTACTGCATTGAGCTACTGTTCACCCATGGAGAAAGGGCAGTTCCAAGCTATGACACATATAGCCCAAATGAACATAACAGAGGCACACAGAATGTGAAAAAAAAGTATTTTCATTCGTTTCATGCAAGTATTTGCATTATTTTCTAACCCTGGGGACCCAATCTTGTCTGTTAGTATGTGTGAAAAGCCGAGCCGACGGCATTTGCTTCGGCTCGAGTGAGCCAAAGTGACAGCCGAAGCGGGGTGACCGGCCTGCCGAAGGCCAGCCTTTTGCCCGCAAATGACAGCTGGGTGGAGCCAGCCGTAATGTCACAGCTGGCTCCGCCCATTTGTAATGACAGATCAGCATCCCCAAATGTCCTGTGGAAGCTTAACTGTCATTAAACAACAACTGGGCAGAGCTGGCTGTGACATCATGTCTGGCTCCGCCCAGTTGTTATTCATTGGCCGGGACCTGCTTGAAGGCGCTAGCAGGTGCAGGCCAATAGGAAACAGTTGGGCAGAGCTAGCTGTCACTGCTAGCCCTGCCCAATTTTTTTTTCTTTAAAAAAAAAATCTTTATTCATTTTTTAATGTAACTGTTTTATTAAATTTTTTAAATATTTGTTAACTTTTTTTAAAAACTATTTTCACTGATTTGCTATTCTGCTCGGTGGTACTACATAGGTACCGAACAGAATAGCCAAGCTGAATGCTGCTCGGCTGACCGAAGTGCAGCCAAAGGCAGCCGATGTACGGCTGATTTCAGCCAATGAAGAGCTGAAATCAGCCGTACCGAGCCGTAGTTCGGCTCACTTCACTTCGGCTGGATTATTCCCTCGGCTGCCTATGGCAGCGTTGTGAATAACACACTTAATCTTTTCCTAAATTGCATCAACCTACTTCAAACTTCTTTTGCATTTCCTTTGATCTGTATGGGGAGGGAAGCAGTTTGGATGTACGCAAAAGAACATGTACACAGACACTTAAATAAAGTCAGTGACTCACTGGTATAAACATAGTGAATCAGTAATACAATTGTTGATTTTGGAAACCCATATGAGGATCTTTCACTACGTTGTCATCTATATTATCCTTCAATTAATCTACTACGTATTTTTGTCTATACAACCTCAGAAAGCCAGTGTTATTCCCTATATTTTATTGTGCACTAATTCTGCAATAGAATACAAGAAAAACATATTTACTATGTCCCAGAAATCTTTGTCATGTTTTTTTTTTGGACTTCTTTTTAGCTAAACTGACTTGATGCCCTCCACCAGGTAAAAAGGCTCCTTTTAAAGCCAAAATGAAAATGACTGTATGTCCAAAAGGGGCAGTGATTGCCTATTGCATTCTGAATTGCTGTCCTCATAATGAACTCTGTGATGCAAAAGGATGTCTTTATGTAAAACAAAATACAAGTGAAAAAAAAGGCTTCCTTTATTGGTTATTGCATACTTTTTGTGCTCTCTTTTAGTCGACTTTTTGGCAAAATACTGCATCTTCAGCCAGCAGAAGTTGGCCGAGTATAAAAGGGCTTTTGAAGCGGTAAGTGTAAATTCAGTCTCCTTTTCTTTCCCCCTCCTTTCCCCTCCCCCTCCACTCCTCCTATGTCTGTAGACAGTTAAGCAGAAATAATAAGCACCGCTGCCTGCGGTACACGTCCCATGAATTACTCCAACATCAAATGTAACTTTAGAATGGAGGCACGCTTTATTCTTTTTGTAGAACTGTTCCCCAATCCATTCTTTATTTACATGTCGTGAGCCTGAGCGATGCACAGCCATTTAGAAGACACACAAAAAAAGGAGAGGCCATTAAACAAATTAAAAGGAGTGGGGATGACTAATACAGTACTCTTGGAATCTGCAATTTGATTAGCCTGAATTTAATACACAATAGATGCGACAAGGCAGGAGTGTAGTCTCAACTGCTCTTTAATAACCTTCCACAGCTGAATTATGCTGATGAATGTGCTATTCTTGGTTGTGAAAAGTGTCATTAAATACATGAAATGCTTTAGAAAAAGCATGGATATTTTCAGATTTGACTTTGTGATTGAAATATATTATATAGATTGTGAATTGTTTTGTTGTTAGATATTTGCAATACTAATTGCCACTGAGAAACAGGAAAAGGAACAGGGTAATTCCAAATAATTTGTCAATAATTGGCAATATAATTTATGCAAAGCACGTAATCAGTGTGGCCGTTTGAAGAAGAGGACGTACATGACAAACTGGCTGATAGACTTTTATGCAGAGAACATTAATTTGGTTTCTGTGAAGGCACTCATAATGAAGTGCAATTGTCAGATAATATGGATGCTTTAAAATCAGTCTGCATGTAGAATATAAATGATCGCAACGCGTTTAGCTCTTTAGACATCAAAGGTTGATCTGGTGGTTTGGAAATATTTTGCAAAATTAAACATTATTCTTAAAGAGGATCTAAACTGTTAAAGCTATATCTAAAGAAAGGCAAGCAGAGGGCAAAAGACTAGTCACCAGGGCTGAATGTATTCTGAGAAAAGGAACAAAAGAGAGCGCCTGTTAGGATCCAGAGTGCCTCTAGGTGGCGTAGGAGCTGAGACCTGCAGCTCCAGTGCTCACCTGCGGGTGTTTCCCAGCTGCCAGTACTTAGCCATCACCTGGTTCTTCCTGGGAGGATATTTAAACCCTCCCTGCAGTCAGGATGATGGCTCAGTATCATTTCCTGTTTCCTGAAACTAGAACCCTGAGTCCCCAGTTCCGGTGAACCCTGCTTTCCGTCCAGAGTCCTGTTACCAGTCCTGTACCCTGTTTGTGTCCTGAGCCCGGTTACCCATTTGCAGTCCTAGATACCTCTTGTTGACATTACCTGCCTTTCCTCCTGTTGCCATTACCTGCTTGTCCTCTTGTTGCCATTACCTGCCTTTCCTCCTGTTGCCATTACCTGCTTGTCCTCCTGTTGCCATTACCTGCTTGTAGTCTGGTTGATGTTACTTATTTATGTTTGCTTTTGGGTGTTGTTTAGTTTTTCTGTTTATTAAACTGTATATAATACATTCTGCCCTGTCCGGTGTGGTCATAAGTGTTTGGTCTGCCTGTGTGGGTACCTGCGCAGGTGTGGGGTCACCTGTGCCGGTATCCTTAACAGCGCCTCCGTAGTGTAGAAATGTTATTTAATAGTAAAAACACACAGCTCTATGGCTGTACTTACAACAGTTCAGTAGAATAAAAACCAGTAGAATAAGGTGAGAGGATGGAACACCTGGCAGGGAGAATCTGGAGCGATGTAAAACACCAAAAACCTCGATCCCTGTGTTGGTAAATGGTTTACGCGTTTCTGGGGCACGCTCCCTTCATCAGAACCTGCCAACCCCCCCTCCCCAATGGAAAATGGCAAGCATTGGTTCTGATTAAGGGGGCGTGCCCCAGAAAACGCGTAAACCGTTTACCAACACAGGGATCAAGGTTACTGGTGTTTTACATCGCTCCAGATTCTCCCTGCCAGACTTTTTTAATTTGATTATTTTTTACTTTTAATCAGTTTTTATTTTTTTCAATTTTTATTTTATAATTTTTTTCCAGTTAACTTTATTGCTATCACAAAGGAGCTAACAATCCCCTGTGTGATAGCATTTAGAGGTGACAGGTTCTCTTTATTGAACCTGTCATGTCCAATACAGGAGTTCTAGCACAGTACTGTGCTGGCTCTCCTGTGACAGCTAAGATGGGAAGGCTGCGACCGTGAAAACCCCGGAGGGGAGGGAGGCGGCCAACGGTGAGAGGCATCTTGTGGAGGGGGGCTGACCATGGAGGGGGGGCGGCAAGGGAGGACGGACGAGCAGGCTAATTACAAGTGATTTCGTCATAGTACACATACATATAGTGTAGTTCCTACACCATCAAAAGGCACTTGGAAACTGCAAGAAACTCTGACAGGAAAAGGTCTGGCAGACCCAAAACCACAACAGAATCAGAAGACAAGTTTCTGAGAGTCAACAGCTTGCGTGTCAGGCAGCTAACAGGACAACAGCTTCAAGCACAGCACACTGTGTGAAGTTGGCCATACACTCTGCAATTATCGTTAGCTTTTTTACGTGCCATCATCGAACCCTCCTTCGTTTTCCGCTCAAATACCCCATCATGCACAGACCAATTTTGATTGTGAAAATTGTTCAATAGCAATACTAGATCACCGAACTTCGTCGATCGACACAACAGATTTTCGTTTGTGCATGTGCAAGTGTTCTTGTTGCGATTCTTTTCGTGCGAAAATTTCACTAATCTATCGATTTTCGAGTTTCAAAAATTTTTTTTTCCAGCCTCACCCTTCGAGAAAATCTGGCAAAGAGTACAATAAAAAAATCTCTGGGTTCCCGTCAACAAATCGATTATCGGACGACAGACCATTCACGTTGGAAGATTTCCGAACGATAATCGATAGGTGTATGGGCACCTTAAGTCTCAATTTCAACTGAGAAGAGAAGACTTCAAACTGCAGGTTTGACATGTCGAGTTGCAGTAAGAAAGCCATTTCTTAGATGGCAAGATAAGAAAAAGAGGCTAGCCTGAGCCATGAAGCACCACCAGTGGACTACTGAAGACTGGAAGGTCTTTTGGACAAATGAATCAAAATTTGGGATCTTTGGTTCATCACGCAGGGTTTTTGTATGCTATCAAGTAGACAAAAGGATGCTTCCTCGATGTGTGACACAAACTATCAAACATGGAGCATTAAGTATGATCCTCTGGGGCTCTTTTGCTGGATCCAGAGTCAACGACTTCCACAGAGTGAGTGTCACCCTGAACCAAAACTACTACCGCAGCATTTTGCAGTGCCATGCAATACTCTCTGGTGTATGCCTTGTTGGTCAGGGGTTAATCCTACAGCAATATAATGACCCAAAACATACGTCCAGGCTGTGTCAGAACTATCTTAGAAGAAAAAAACAACAAGGCAATAGGCTTCAAATCAAGGAATGGCTAGCACAGTCTCCAGACCTAAACCCCATAGATCTGGTTTGGATGGACTGGACAGAAGGATGAAAGCAAAGCAACCTACAAGTGCAACACATTTATAGAAACTGCAAGTGTTGGGAAGAACTTTCTGAACAATATTTGATTTCCATTGTAGAAAGAATGTCACAAGTAGGTTCGGCTGTTATATCCGCACAAGGTGGCAACTTTGATGAGTCAAACATTTAGGTTACATTTTGTTAAAAAAAATGATTTCAATCCAAATTGTTTATTTGTTTAATGCTTTATTTTCAGAGTACATTGAGACATTAAAATGCAATAAAAACCGAAAAAATTTAGGTTTTCTAAAGCTTGTGACTGGTCGTGTAGATATATTTATATATACACTGAGTGGTCAGATTATTATGACCACCTGACGTTTGTAGGCAAATTAGCTATAATTTTGCGCTGAAGTTGCTAGAGGGCCAGCCCGTTATAAATAGTGAAGCAGGTTGTTTACCACGACAGTAGAAGTGATTTGTTTCTGAAGATATGGGTAAACAACGCGATTTAACAGCCTTTGAACGTGGCATGATTGTTGGCGCTCTGAGCCGTGGAGCGAGTATCAGCAAAACAGCAGAATTCGGTAAAATTTCTCTCTCTTTCTTTCTCTCTCTTTCTGTATGAAAAGCTTTCTCGTCATTTCCTGTCCAGACAGGAAATTTCCGAAACACAGCACAATGAAAAACCAACATGGGTTCTATCTCTTTGGATCCCTGTCCCAAACAAAATACAGTAAATTCCCAGTTATCCAGTACACAGGCGGATTGGTAGATGCTGGATAACTGTAGTTTCTGGTTGTGAGTTACTATTAAATCTCAAGCAACAACCCCCCTCTCTCGCCCGATTCATCTGCTGGCTAGATTCTGCTATTGGCTATTTCGAATTGCCATAGCCAATACCAGGCTGGCTATTGCACACCCAAAATGAATTTGGTTGCTAACAAATTTTTTTTAGTGTGCACATGTCTATCAAGCAACTGGCAAAAAGAAATTAGGACATATTATGTCCTCAATTGTTTTGTTTTTTTGGCTGCTTGAGATTTTTGGTTGCTTGAATGCCGGATAATGGGGAGTTTACTGTAAAAAAAAGTTTTGGCTGGAGTTGGTCTTTAGGCAAGACACCAAACATGTACAGAACATGCACAAAAGCTAACAAACATGTCTCAGGTCATTGTATTTTCATTTAACGCAGTCATTGCATGGAGTACAGCCACACAAACAGTTACAATATATTCTCAACCTTAAATCTCTTTGGCCACAACGGCTGGGTGAAATTCTCATTTAATATTATTACAAAACATGGCGTCATTACCCTAGACCTTTGAGTATAAGTACTCGTATTTAACATACTGAACTAGCTAATTATATGAGCACACATTGCATGTATTTCTATTTAGACTACAGTAATTCCAAACCTAGAGATATGTCCAGTCTTTGACATTGCTTTTTATTCAGTATGTTCATGGTGTAGCTATAGGCTCACTGACAGAAAACAATAAGATTAGCTTTCTATTTGTAATGGCGGTCTGCATAGAGCTTGTCGCATTGAAGTTCTCCGCGAGCTGGTGCACCTGTGTTGACTGAAAAACAAATGTTTTTGAAAGAAAATATAGGGTTACAAAAATGAGCAGCCTGGATTACTGGTTTAAGTGTACTTTACTCGATTACATAAGACCTGACTCTAAAATGTGTATGTACTCTCAGGTATGGAAATTACATCTTTAACACTATACTGTATATAGTTTACTCTTCCATGCACTTTGCTATTTCCTAACACATATCATTATATAACCTGATATATACCATCATACATTAAATAACATCTACTGTATTTAATTACTTTTACTAGTTGTGGATTTCTACTCTGCCTTTTAATGATGCATAGCACATTTTCATCATGTGGTCATCATGTCATCCAATGGTCCAACTGTGGAATGACACACATTTCAGCCGTCATGTACATACACTGCTTTGTACACTTTGTATATGCACTACTCCAGCTGGGTGCATATTCACTTTTTCCTCCCCCTCAAATAGCATAATTGTTTACAATGGTAAACAATAATGAATCAGCAATTTAAAAAAATCAATTTCTGCCAAGAGAGAGCTTCTTAGACTAGGATAATCCCATAAGAGGTCCTATAGGTTGCGTAGTGAGCAACAATTGCAAAAAAAGTGTGATAGCATTTTGGGTAGTAACATACCCATTCTAAACTACATACAAAAGCATATTTAAACCTAAAAACAAACATTGTATATATTCCAGCTTACCACTCCTTAGATGTGGTGGCCACATTAGTTTTCCTTTACAGGCTAAGAACATTTCACAAGAAAGGTAAGGATGTTTGTGCCTTCTTTTCAGCTCACGGAAAGTGATAAGGACTCCCCCCAAAAGTCATGCCTGGCCTTTTAGGTCTGGTAAGAATTTCAAGGAGGAACCCCACCCCCAAAAATGGGGGGAAAAACCTGGTGTCCCCCCTAGACCCTTGATCCGAGCACAGGCCTGGCAGGGCAGGAAAGGGGGGGGGGGCGAGCGAGCGCCCCCGCCATACCAGGCCACATGCCCTCGGAACTGGGAGGGCGCTTTTACAAGGTCCCCCCTGGAAAATCACATTGTCCCCATGCCAATGTGGACAAGGGCCTCTTCCCCACAAGCTCTGGGGCGTTGGTTGTGGGGGTGTGGGCAGGGGTTACCCTTTTATTAGATTAACCCAGATGTGCCTTCCCCCTCCCCTTGTGAATGAGTGAACTTGTACCCCTACCCATTCACTAAACGGTTAAAGTAAAAGATAAATAAAAAGTCCTCATTTTTTCTTTTATCTTTTTATAGGGGTCCCTCCTACCATTCCTACCAGACCTAAAGGTCTGACCTAAAGGGTCTGGTATTGTTTGGGAGGGGGACCCCACATTTTTTTTTTCTTTTCTTTAAAATGTTCTTTATTATTTTCGTAACTTTTTTTAAATTTTAATTTTTTTACATTTATTTAAGTTTAAAGGGGCGAACGACAGTGAGTAAACTGCCGGAGCTTCAGCTCAGCCAATCCAAATGTTGAACGGCTTCTGCACTTCGGCTCAGAGCATATTCGCCTGACTGCAGGCAGCCATCGGCTAAAATGGCTGATTTTAGCCGATGTACGGCTGAAATCAACTGTACTGAGCTGCAGTGAATAGCCAAACGGCGTTCAGCT